ACGGACAACAACGACAAACGACAACCACTACAATACATTTCCTGGATTTATGATTTTATCACATCCCGAGTAAAGTTCACAATAGCGAACAATCATAAATCACCCCTTGCTAATGTAATTCAGGTGTTCCCCAGAGTGTAGGACTTTCTCTTTTTTCATTTCTTAGATGCGTAAACGACCTTCTGCACGGCATCAATTAAAAAAAATAACTGTTTTTACCGACGTCTGCGTCATTTGCTATCGGGTCTCAAATCTCTTCAAGCAAGCTGCCTTTCTGAGAGAGGCGATTTGCGATTGGGTGACCCGTCGTCACGCTGCCGGCGTCTCCGCTGAATTCTATGCTCCAGATTTTACTTGCTCAGGAAGGGGCGTGGCGCGAACTTCTATCACATCCTTAGTAGGGAGACAGACGTCGCACGACCACAATTTTTCGATTTCTACGATGTATGGAGCATGTAAGATAAGTTATCACCAAGAACAAATTCTCCCAAAAATGTCTTTAATGTAATCTCCTCCGCCACCATGTCACTGTGTGTCGATTATCATTATTATCGTCTTTCCGCCTTTCAATTTTTCACGGCGATAGATTGCTCTCAGACATCTTAAGCCGTTATTTAAAATTATACAATTTATACCAGCCATTAATTTTAATTAAAAATATATATTTTTGTTTTTGCAGATATAAAACTTTGGAAAAAGCCGTTGGCTACAGCAGCTTAAAAAACCTAATATACAAAAAGAAAAGTCTCCGCGGCGCGATATATTTCGTGTTTCTAAAATATGTATAACCACAAACTGACGATCAGTTTTAAATTATAAAAGAAAGCCCAATGTGGATGGCCTAGATAATCTTGCGGAGCTGTGGGAGAATGCTATTTCCTATTTTACTTGCTCGGCAGAAATACTTGACTGTGCCGATTCGCTTAATAATTATTTTAGGCAATCACTAAACACCGCCGACTACGTTGAATGCTCTCCTAAACACTAACATCGACCTTACTTCAATCGCATTAAGACAATTGCGTAACGAGTTAAATAAATAGGAATAGAAAATGATCAAAAATCTGTTATCTTTGTGTTATGCGCTCGGTTGAGTTTCAATACAATTACAGCGCATAATCTGACGTTATATGCACTATATAAAAACTATAAGGGAGCAAGGGGTTCCATAAAGCTGTTATATAACTTTATTTTGCCTTGCTTTTACCATCCATGTTAAAAAACTGAAAATAAATTTCTTTTCTTTTAGTTTTATAGCTTTGCGCGGTTACCTAGAAAGCACGACAATGAACGAAAATAGCAAAACGCGCCTTCGGCATTACCGCTGAAAGAATTTAATCAGTGCTTCGGATGCCCTCACTTGTATTTATTTTTTTTTCTTTTGTTTCGTGGTCGAGTTGATTTAATAATATTGATATTCAGCGCAATTCTGATGGAAATATCGGGAAGGCTAAACGTGATCGAAAAGACCAAAGCCAGGTTCTTCGATTTGTGGTCTCTTCAATATTTTTAGTGAAGTTAGGAAAACCTCCAATATTTGCCTTAACAAAAGCGAGACGTTGAAGCGGGAGCTGTTGAAGGTGTTTACGTGTTCCAGAATAAAAGTAAGCATAAAGTAACTGTATATGCAAAGTGTAAAAATACATCGACAAAAACAACAGATAACGTAAATATATACATTTATATATTAAATCCTACTAACTTTTTTCAGTGCGACTACGAAAGAGCATTTTTCTTGTCGCATTCGGTCCATTTACTTAAATCTCCTGTGCGGAACACGACATTTCACTGCGACAATTTTTTTTCCGCAGCCATCTGCATTTTTTGTTATTAAATTTTTTTTGAGGGAGGAGGGGGGTGAAGCGAATTTTTTCACACATTTTGTTCGTGAATTCTGGGGAACAAAAGAAAATTAAAAAAGAAAAAGCTTGTTTCTTCGACTTAGTGCACCTTAATGCCACTTTAATTGCCACGTAGGAAGCGCACTTCTCGTCGGGAAAAGATCTGCCGTTTTGCGAAGATCACTAGCCGGTTTGAGCGCAGAAATTACTACGAGCACAAAAACAATTCTCCGTAAAAAAATGAATCACTTCTTTTGGTAAATATACTTGTGCAAGTAACAAAAAAAAAGTTCACGGGTCAAAGGACGAGGAGTCGCAATCGAAATGCACTTTGGAATAAAAACAATTATATAATATTTTCTGAGGGCAGACGCTGTTTGCTAAGAAAACTGTTAAAGTGTAACTGCAAAGAAAAATTTTTGTTTTAAACTTCTAATCGGGACAAGCATGTCACAAAACAAATTTTCCGCGAAAAAAACAATTTAGAGCAATATTTATTGCGCGAGACTGATTTTACTTTGCGGCTATTTCGTTCATTATAAATCGCGCGCCACAAAGTTGGTATTATACTTCACGGAGTTACTATTGTACGTCACGGAGTGACGTGCTATAGCAACGCTTTTCATTGGCTAAGAGAATAAGTGACAGGTTATATCTTGGTAGCTAAACCTTTGTGATATGTTTTAATTTCCTTTCAAGCGGCATATTTTTACGTTTAAAGAATAACCCATGTAATGAGAGTTATTATTATTCTTTACAAAAGGTTTATAAGACGGGCGCTTGTGTTTGAATTCATACCATAACAAACAAAAGCTTCGCCATTCTTTCCATGGCCACCGCTGTCTCTGCTCCCGCCTGCCTCGCCTACCTCGCCTACATCGACTAATTGTTTCGTCTAAGTGATCAGTGTATCCTGTTGACACAGATGCTTCGGTGAAACTTCCTAAAGTGAAGTAGTGTGTGTTTAGCAGCTGTCGTATGTGTTAGTGATAGGAAGCGACGCGGGGTTGTGGCTCTCATATCACGGTTTGTTTCTTTCGTTTTCCTGGGGCGTTCTTCTTGCTTTCGTAGCGCGTTTTCTTTCCTTTCTTAGCGTGATTTTTTTTCTGCTGGCGCGTGCAAATGCCGACTTTTTGGAGATGTCAGCTTCTGTAAAGCGGCACCATTGCTCTGTAAAGTGCTGCCAGATGAGTGATCGCGACAGCGAGCCTTCCAGCAGCCATGTCGCCCCGAAAGATGGCAAGCTGAAAGCTATTTAGCTGGAGACAATCGGGCGTTCGCGTGGCAACAAACGTGTCCAGGTATATTCTCGTCCTTTTGACCTGGAGGCCTTCGAGATTCGCACCGGGTGCACCGAATGTCCGCGAGTGAGACAGGCACTTTCCCGTCGATTTTCTTACTGAGAGCAAGCGCAGTATCATCGGTAAGTAGAACTTCTAGGAATAAATGTTTAGTTTGCTACGCTAAGGTTTCTGGTGGCGCATTGTCTCGTTTTAGAACTGTTCTATTTAAACCGAAACTTGTTGTAACACTGGTACGGGAGTTTTAGCACATAAAGTAATAGTTTGCATGAAGCATCAAGCGTCCAAGCGCACCAAAGGCTCGGGTGGCTCAGGCCGTGCGCCGTCTTTTTTGCTGGCCGCCGTCATTTGCTCCATATCGTCGTGTGGCCGAAGACCCAGTTGCTCGCAGCGGCCAAGAAGCTGACGCTTAAATTCAAGGTCTATTTTGCGCGCAGTTCGCAGAGAACACAGAAGCTACAAAAGGATGGGGTACGCACGCACATTCGACGCACTGGAAGTCGAGGCGCTGCGTACGTCGTTCAACTCCGCAGCCAAGTCAATCCAAGAGCAAATCCAAAAGCGGGGGCAGGGCGTACTTCTCCTCTGCGCGGGGCTAAAGTGCGGGAGTTTCAAATGTGGAGAGGTTGTCACTCCGACTAAATTACGTTCTGTAACGTAAGTATCTTTTTTTTGAAAACTTAGTTTTGTGACGTGCTTCTCCCAATTAGCTGTTTAGAAAAATTTGTTTCTTTGCAGTTACCGCAGAGTCGGAGAAGAACGGGACACGGACGAGTGCTGGTTTGTGTCCCCTTCTTCGCGTTCGTCTCTTTTGTACCTTCTAAAATCACGGGTTCCTGAGCAAGTAGAACCAAGGTCCCCGTATGATCGCCGCTTTGGTCCATGGAGTAGGCAGTTTTTCCTCGACCTCTCCATTCTTGGTGAGCCGATCCAAACTTGCGGTGTCAGGTTGGTTTGTAAATACATTTCTTGTATACCATAATCTTGTATACCGAGGTCTTGTATACCAAGATTGATACACCAGCGAAACAAGCGCTTATTCTCGCACCGCCAACACATGTGGCGTCGGGTATTGGCAGTATTGGAACATAAATTTCCCATCTTAAAACACGCCGATACGATACCGTGTTAAGAAATCTGTGGAGATAAGTATAATTGGTGAGTTGAATACATGCACAGTGCTAAAGACGCCTACGTTGGCGAGGAACTTTTCCAATACGATGGCACTCCATGGCAATCTTGGCCTGGCTGGTTCAAAAATATTCTTTTGAAGCTTCTAAAATCGAATAGGGCCGAGGTGGCGATTGCCATGCTAACTATACGACCGTTTCATCCAGTCGCTTCCCGAAGCCTTAGTCGTCTGTATATTAGTATCTGTTTGTGTCCTGCTAACAGGCAGGGAAAGCAATGGCGCTGCTTTCCCAGGATCGAGTGACTTTATCACTTGGAAAAGTCCCGAGCATAATGCACCTGATAACCCAACTAGACCCGGCTTACGCTCTATGTTCATAAGTCGCCAAGAAACAAAATGAACGCAAAGCTGTTTTTTACAATTTCTTTAATGTTTAAGGAACACTTGATCGGTTCCAATGGATGAACAGAAAGCTTGTTAGTTGGGGAGAACACGTCTTGACGGTAACCGCGTATTCAGGCGGCTTTTGAAACGCGAAATGCTGCCAGTTTGGTTAGTGTAGGTGTTTGCGTAACTGTAGGTATTTTTATAATTATTTTTTATAAGTATTCCTTTTTTGTTAGAAGTATGTTTGCATGCTTGTTTATTATTATTATTTTTTAACGGGAGATGTTTTGAAACGGTTTTATATTCTACGTTTTGGTTATGAAACTTCTGGCAACTCACCTCCCTGGACGTGGACGAGCCTGCTCTTGACCACTCCGATGGAGTTAGAAGCGACGCAGCGGTATGTGGCAGAGTGCACGTCCTGCCGGTACTGACTGGACGAGAAGGACGACAGGACGAGGGAACCGTCAGATCGGGTCGAGCGCAGTCCGGGAACCTGCGTTCAAACGCGAATATAATTTACTATAGTCGCTGACAACGTGAGAGCGAGAGAGAGCGAAGCTGGGCAGAGATACTAAAAACAAGCATTCCGGAACACAAATACTAAGGTGCGTGTACTTTAAGGCCAAAATGCAGATACTGAGACACATATGTCTTTGATGTAACGAGAGGTGCCTAAGATACTTCTGCAAAAACGGCCATAAATATTCCGCAACACAACTACAAATACATACATACATATGTTTTTTTTTCCCGAACCGTGATATGTCAAAAGGAGCCGCTCGTGGAAAATGCAATCGTTAGTGTTCGTGTTTTGGCGACTGTTTGCAATATATCGGGCCTTCGTTTCAAGTTTTCACCTAGTAAAAAAAAGAGGAGGGGTGTTAAGTAGCGTGTTCATAGTATAAAGTTTGGGACCCATCGCGCCAAAAAGGTTGTTTTTGATGATTTGATTTAATTTATGTTTATTGTATTATCTTTCAAATGTGCATGAGAAGTACATTACAAGAGGTGGGACAACAACACAAATCTGAACTGCAGGTCAATTCAAGAAGAACATCTGATTAATAAGGAACATGGTATATAAAAATATCGACAACAAATGCAAAAAAAAAAAAAAAAAAAACTAAACACGAAGGAACAAAGGATGACGGTAACTAAACACGTTAATTGTGAACAGTTGGAATGTGTGCCTTGCAAATATTTCTGAACTTATCGTGATTAGTTTTATTTACAATTCATTAAGGAAGATAATTGCAGTTAATAGTGAAAATAGCCAGTGGGGAATTCTCAAATGCATTAGCCCTCGCCAGTAGTGGCTTAATTTTTAGGTTATGGTTAATTAGTATGGAAATGTGCCATGGCGGTTGAGAGTAAAGGTCACGACAAGACGAGAAGGAAAATAATAGTTTGTGGAAGATGACAAAGCGGGAAAGAGTTGTTCTTTTGGACAATGGGCGTAAGTCGAGAGCTGATTTTAGTGGCTAAAGTTGAAGCCTCGGCGAGTTGGTATTACATACTTAAAAGGTTAAAACAGAGCAAAAAACGACGGACAGGGTAAAGTCTGTCCGTGTCCTTCTTTACCCTGTCCGTCGTTTTTTGCGCTGTTTGAACCTTTTAAGTATGATTTTAGTGCAGTTATGTTGGATTTCCGGGAGTAATTATCTGATATGAAACGATTTTCATTGTTAGTTTGTTAGTATGATAGGGTGGATGAGACCACCAAAGAAAGTTAAACGCTTCTCCTTGTTGGTTTGTTAGTAAGATAGGACAGATGAGGCCACCAAAGAAAGTTAGCGTTGTTCAGTCTATATCCTACAACAGGCTTATACAGGCTTATAGGCCGTTTGTTTAGCAGAACGTGGGGGGCGGGTATAAATTATATTTAATACAAGTATCCCAAGGACTTAGAAGCACTAGCCACTATAGTATTAAAATGAGTATTTCAAGTGAGGTCGTTAGAACACGTTACACCCAGATATTTATAGCTTGTCACTTTTTCAACCAGCAGCGTTAGTAAGGAGTAGTTGTGGATTACAGGATTATGTCTACAGGGTAATGCTAATGCTTACACTTGTTTACATTTACTTTCATTTGCCACGCATCGCACCAGTGTAAAATATATTAAAATACATTAAAATACATTACGGCGCCAGGACTCAAGCATGTATCCCAGGAACACTTTATAGAACGTAGTCATCGTGGTGGCTTCGGCCAGCCTGTCCCGTGCGCGTGCGATCGTGCGAGACCCCCGAGTCTGTTGATCACGATGATGATCGCTGGGTCTCGGCACTACGCAAACATTCCCCTCCATCCAAGTTCCAAGCGGTCAAGAGGCTATCTCTGTTTGGTTGACTTCCCGGTAACCGGCGCTGATCCGGTCGTGGAGCTCGCCGCCCTTGTCCTTCCCAATTCAGTAGCCGGTGGCAGCTCAGTTCTGGAAATGTCTGTTCGCGTGGGGAGCCGCGCTCGGAGCTGGTCAGCGTACCATCGAAGTTTTCCTCGTGGAGTGCTCACTGTCACCATCTGGGCAACATCAGACGACCGAACGACTCCCGGAAGTCACTGGGGGAGCCTGCGCCAAATTTGCGCCACCACACCGCCTGACCCACGGCAAAGGAATGGACTCCATTCTTGTGCTGAGATGAGTTCGAATACCGCATCTCAGGAAGACAGCAGCCAATCCAAGACCGGATGCGAAAGCCCAGTAAGAGTTCAGAAGGGTACTTTCTATCTTTGGTTGGGGTTCTGCGATAACTGAAAGAAAACCAGGAAAGCCTCGTCCTAAGGCTGCCAGGATGAGCTTTGCGAATTTTATCGGTGGGTACCGCGTGCTCCGCCAACCCGATTGACAATGGGGGATACGGAGCAGCGGTGAGATGCTGCACGTGGTTGTGTAGTAAACAATGTTTAGAAATACTGCTGGCTAACTGTGGACCGCTGCCGGACACAAACGTCTTTGGCAGAACAAACAGACCACAAATGCCGAGCAATGATTCCACTGTAGCCTCGGCTGATGCAGTCTTCATCGGTACCGCCTCGATCCACCTCGTATCTGAGTCGACCGCAATGATTATCATAGGGCACTCCAGCGGTCCGGCGTAATCAACAAGAAGGTATGACCAAGGGCGAGTGACATCCGGCCAACTTGCGGGAACCTGCGCCGGTGGCATTGAGGATGTCTGGACAAACGTCACGCACCTCCCTACGAGGTCGTCAAGGTTTCTGTCTGCACCGGGATACCTGCAGATTGTTCGTGCCCAACTCTTCATGGCAGACATCCCTGAATGGGTGTCGTGAAGTGTGGCTAACATCATGGAGCGTGCAGCTTGAGACAAAATCACTTGATGTCCCCAGTAGATGAGGTCATGGCTCATTGTAAGTTCGGGTTTCTTTCTAAAATATGGCTGGAATCAAAGCTCAGTGTCAGGAAGTTGCGTTCAACAATCCTTCTGAGTCCAGGTCCTAGCTTGACGAGGCAGCCAATCTCCCTCGATCAGGTCTGCTAGTTTCTTAGCTGTTAATATACCGGCATTGAGACTCTGAGTGTAGAGAACGTACACAAAGGGTTCTCCCCAGCTGTAACATGGCCTTTCTTCACACACCTGGACCTCTAAACTCGTGAAACACAAAGTTTGAGCCGGAAGTTTGCGGAGCGCACCGATTGGACGTCGGCGAAAAAAGCGCAAAGTCATCATCGTTATAGGCCAATCGGTGCGCTCCGTTAACTTTGGCCCCAACTTTGTGTTTGACGAGTTTAGCGACCCTAGAGGTGACGGAGGACATAAGTGGGATCCAAGTTAAAGTCCAGCGGTGAATCCTTACAGCTGCCATATGCGGAGTGACCTTGTATGGGTGAAATAAACATGTCAGATGCTTGTAGTCTGTGAACTTATGTCCGCGAAAAGAGTCTCGGAACCGTGTCACACCAAACACTAACGCGAGGGCCTCCTTCTCTAGCTGGTAGATGTTCCGTTAGCCAGAACGGTTGTACCGCCCTCGCGAAATTGTTCATCTACAGCTGAGACACCAGACGACCAGTGAGGCAGAGTATACTTCCGGCTGTATAGATATACACACAAGATAATTACGTCATGCTCAATGCCAGAACGCAGACTGTCCTTCAGGTCTTGCAATATTTTCCGTCTCGCCAATAACCGAGCTCCTGTGCATACTGTATCGACTGGCTCTCCCAAGGAATTTTCGAGAAACTAGACGCTCCAGATTCCCAAAGTTCAAAAAACGAATCGATGTGACGTCCACGGAAACGCTTCAACCAGTAAATTAGCTTGTTGACTTTGCTCCACCAGCCTTTTTTTTAAGTACGCTTCCAAGGGCAGGCAACAAAATGCTTCCAAATTAAAAACACACACACGCACATACATACACAATAAAAGAAGGCGCAAATTGTTTTGTACTTACAGCTGACGCGGGCGAGCCATCTTTCTTCTCCCACGTGATCCTCGGGGCCGGTTGTCCCCTGGCCGAGCAAGGCAGCACGGCGCCGGTCTCGCTCGAGAACTCCATGGCCGTCGGGGGCTCCAGCACCAGGCTCGGACCTCGGCCGCCCTTGAGCGTGGACTGCAGGCACCCCGCTGCAGCGTGCAAGGAGAAAAAAAAAAGCGCCAACGGTCAAGTCTTGGAACGGAATCACAACACCATTGTATTTCTTCGGTCTCTTTTCAGAGTAACGCATTTTCTTTGCGTGGGTTTTCCAGATTCAGCGCACAGAATATCGGTATCATTTTATTTAGGTTGATATTCGTACTGATCGGTGTATGTCTACTTGGTGGTAATTCAGAAACTATATATACATTTTTCTAAAAAACAAATCGGGGATACAAACTCGAATAGATTAATAATTCGAGCAAGTTTTTGTGGTCGCTCGATCTTTTTTGTTCGAATATTTTGGCGGGTGCGACCATGAGAGAAAATCGCGGCGGACGGCCCCCAGAAGATTGTGCCGGCTATCGCCGGCGTGTCACAGGGTGCTGCCTACACCAAAAAGCCTTCAGACGGATAACATTTTCCTCTAAAAAGAGATAAGTCATCACTTCGAAATAATCCGTGAGGTGAGGCTAGTGCACATCGTCGAAGTCAACTGGCCATCTGTGGCAACAAGGAACCTCCCGCGTTCTTCAAACAAATGTAAAAAAAATATGTTTTTGTTTTGTCTGTAAGTGTGTGTGTGAGTGTGCGCGCGTGTGTGTGATTGTGTGAGTGTTTGTGTCTGTGTGTCTGTCTATGTGTTTGGGGAAGGGGGTGTTCTTAGGACCGCCACTGTTGCCAAGCAATAAAAATTCTCGGGACTAGTCGCCGTTGTTGCTTTCAATGACCTTGTAAGAAAAGAGCACTTTTGAGATGTAATTAAATTGGCGTTTTAACGTATGTTTTAAAAAGAAAATTACTCGCGAGAAGAGTAACGCTCTCTGCGATGGTTCGACACGATTAAATTTCGTTGCCTTATATTAATGAGCAACACGTCAGCGTACCTTTGTCTGAAGGCTTGGAACTTTAGTGCAGTCTTCCGTGAAACAAAGTTGAAATATCGGAATCGAGGGAGGAGGGGGATTGACGTAAGAAAAAGGTGGAACCCCCAACTGGGTTTCGGGGTGCACGCAAGGAGGTACGCACACTGTGCATCGTTAATATGATGCCGGACATTAGCAGCATCACCAAGAAAGCTACTCTAGTCCCGGACAACCTAAGGAACGCTGGACGTTCTCCTGCTCCTAAGCAAAAAACGAACATATACTTTTTTTTAGCCGAATATCCGGAAAATTCTAACACAACAATAAAAACAAAAAGACGCCGTTTACACTCTCTTAAACTTGGACCGCGTCAGCAACTTAAATCACTCGTTACGCAAGCGCAGCGATCATTGAAAACCAAGTACATCGTATCTTCCCCCTTACCACAAATCGGGTTGCGCTTGGCTTTCGAATACAAAAATATAAAACTTGGTAGCAAGGATTGTCCAGATGTCGCCAAAGCACGACTGATTAGAATCCTGGGGAAAGTTTGGAAGCGTGAATGAAAGGAGCGGTTCGCTGTCAAATGACCGGCAGCCGAACCTCGCACCCGGCCTTCCGTTCCGGCCGGCGCAGTCTTATTTGCTCAAGATATAACGCTTCGCCTCCAAGATCACGACGTATAATGTTTTCTCGGTGGTGAAGGCGAGTCTCCTGAAATCGACTTTCAAAATCGGCAAGAGGGTGGTTGCATTTTTTTTTTAAGTCTACGGGCCGTCGGAACCCTAGCCCGTCGTCTCTAGTCTGTCGTTAAGGCTGCACGGATTATAATAATTAAAGTTAGTGCGAACTGACCGCCGCACAAATGTCGACACGAAAAGCGAGCTGGAACTCTTCGTATTAACTACTGAGTGCTGTGTCACAAGACGTTCGTGGTAACTAGAGCTTTTAAATTGGCTCCGCTTCGAGCTCCCATCCCCGATTGTTCTGTGGGCGCCACCGTTCGTTCATTCACAGGCATTCAATGCGGGGCGGGCGCGAGGGTGCAACTGGCGACAGTTTCAATTCCGAAATGCGACGTGCCGAGCTTTATAAACAGCCTTGGGAAGTTCAGGCGATACCGCTTCGCTCCATTGCAGACTCCCTTAACATTTATGGAGGAAAGGAAAGTGTTTCTTGCGTTAACCAACAAAGCCTCAGATAACAGGAAGCCATAAAATTAGGAGACAGGCAGCAATTACAAGGTGTCGTTACTTCGAAGTGTAGATGTTTCTTGTTGTAACGCGTTGCCGGCAACGACCCGAAGTTGGAAAGTTCGAAATTGCGGTTGAGGGATATTGCGTTTAATATTCGGTTGCCTGCGACGGAGGATTTCTCTCTCTCAGTCCTGAAATCAAGCTTTGATAGTCATCTACGAACGACGCTTTTGGTGGATATTTATCTTCCAGCCACGAGTGAGTTACAAACCGCCGACGCGGTTGGAACAGTGCAAGTTTAATCCCGGTAATAAACGGAACAGGGAGACCGACTCGGCTGATAATTTTCTAGTGTGCAAAGATTTGAGAGTGTTTCCAACTAATCGGTCGGGGTTATATATGCAATATGCAAGCTGCGATGAGGCAGAAGCGCCTATCGACTACAACCGTTTCTGCCAATTTACCTTCTCTCTCCATCCTCGCTATCCTCCTTTTCACTCAACAGGCAGGCATGCGCACATACATTTAATCTGAGCGGGAGGTGTCCGCCACTAAGTTGCAAACCCGCTGCATAGTTTGAGTTGCTCCCTCTCTCTCCCCCTTTCTAAAATCTAGGCTCTCTGCGTTTCTCTCCGAGCAAACACGCAGCCGCCAACGTCGCTACAAACGAGACATATCGTTCGTGCCCTCGACCCTTGCGCATCGATGCTTCGAAAGCAGTGGCCCGCGGAATTTCGAGCGGCATGAGCGAGTAGAACAGCCGGGTCGACTCAGCGAGTCGCCCCAAATGGCACTCTGAAGGAGGCAAACAGTTGCAGCCGCATACAAACTGGGTCAATACGAAAGCCTAAAAGAGGAAATTACAGTATGCAAGGGCTGCTGGCATAGGTTTGCTACGGCTTTGTTTTCAACTTAGTACGTGTGGCTTTTCAAAGGAGTCATTGGAGCGTTGCTCATAGGCTAAGCTACGTTGCGATATATGATCGCAGTATTTTTTTCTCTTTTGGATTAGTGCAGTGTGCGCCACTATGAATTAGCCTAACAGTGCTCCCTCCGGCCGGAGCGATGAAAATACTTCAATGGGCGTACTCCAGTGCGATAGGCCGTCGTGTCCTTAGATTAGAATGCATCATCTCAATTTATGCGTAGGATTGCTGGCAGAAGTGATAAGCCTTGCATCCACCATGCACAAGAAACATATTTGTAATCCTTAAAAAAAAAGCTTAATCAATTGCTCGAGAAGCAGGTTGATATCTAAAGTTCACAGCGCATGCACGGCCGATCTATTTTAACACGTCATGTGTACGAAAAAAAAACGATATCACAGCCAGTTTCTTCTAAAGACTTTATATTTACAAAGTAGCGCAAGGTGCGTCGATGCAAGAGGCACGTGCAACGTGCAATCCTTGGGAAGATCATGGCGGCACAGCGCAGCACTGAGCTAGATTTCAGACGCCATGTCCTTCCCAGATGTGGCGCGCGGCACGTGTGTCAAGCATTTCCACAACAATGAATGGCACCACTTGTCCCTAAAGCTCCTTCATGTTTCAAAAGTAGCGCAAGGGGCGTCGATGCACGAGGCACGTGCAAAGTGCAGCCCTTGGGAAGATCATGGCGGCACAGCGCAGCACTGAGCTAGGTTTCAGACGTCCTGTTCTTCCCAGAAGTGGCGCGTAGCACGTGCCTCGAGCATTTCCACAACGATAAATGGTGCCACTTGTCCCTAAAGCTCCTTCATGTTTCAAAAGTAGCGCAAGGGGCGTCGATGCACGAGGCACGTGCAAAGTGCAGCCCTTGGGAAGATCATGGCGGCACAGCGCAGCACTGAGCTAGGTTTCAGACGTCCTGTTCTTCCCAGAAGTGGCGCGTAGCACGTGCCTCGAGCATTTCCACAACGATAAATGGTGCCACTTGTCCCTAAAGCTCCTTCATGTTTCAAAAGTAGCGCAAGGGGCGTCGATGCACGAGGCACGTGCAAAGTGCAGCCCTTGGGAAGATCATGGCGGCACAGCGCAGCACTGAGCTAGGTTTCAGACGCCCTGTTCTTCCCAGATGTGGCGCGCGGCACGTCTGTCAAGCATTTCCACAACAATGAGTGGCACCACTTGTCCCTAAAGCTCCTTCATGTTTCAAAAGTAGCGCAAGGGGCGTCGATGCAAGAGGCACGTGCAACGTGCAATCCTTGGGAAGATCATGGCGGCACAGCGCAGCACTGAGCTAGATTTCAGACACCATGTCCTTCCCAGATGTGGCGCGCGGCACGTGTGTCAAGCATTTCCACAACAATGAGTGGCACCACTTGTCCCTAAAGCTCCTTCATGTTTCAAAAGTAGCGCAAGGGGCGTCGATGCAAGAGGCACGTGCAACGTGCAATCCTTGGGAAGATCATGGCGGCACAGCGCAGCACTGAGCTAGATTTCAGACGCCATGTCCTTCCCAGATGTGGCGCGCGGCACGTGTGTCAAGCATTTCCACAACAATGAATGGCACCACTTGTCCCTAAAGCTCCTTCATGTTTCAAAAGTAGCGCAAGGGGCGTCGATGCACGAGGCACGTGCAAAGTGCAGCCCTTGGGAAGATCATGGCGGCACAGCGCAGCACTGAGCTAGGTTTCAGACGTCCTGTTCTTCCCAGAAGTGGCGCGTAGCACGTGCCTCGAGCATTTCCACAACGATAAATGGTGCCACTTGTCCCTAAAGCTCCTTCATGTTTCAAAAGTAGCGCAAGGGGCGTCGATGCACGAGGCACGTGCAAAGTGCAGCCCTTGGGAAGATCATGGCGGCACAGCGCAGCACTGAGCTAGGTTTCAGACGCCCTGTTCTTCCCAGATGTGGCGCGCGGCACGTGTGTCAAGCATTTCCACAACAATGAGTGGCACCACTTGTCCCTAAAGCTCCTTCATGTTTCAAAAGTAGCGCAAGGGGCGTCGATGCAAGAGGCACGTGCAACGTGCAATCCTTGGGAAGATCATGGCGGCACAGCGCAGCACTGAGCTAGATTTCAGACACCATGTCCTTCCCAGATGTGGC